GGAGCCCTTTCTGGAACGCCCCTCCAGAGAGCGGCGTCCCCGCTCCACTGTGCAAGCTCCCCTTCACCAGAACCCCCACAGGGGGGGGCCGGGGGGGCCGTGGGAAGGCGTCTCCCCAGCGCGGCGGCGCGGCCCAGAATCTACCAGCAGCGCTTCCCCGAGTGGTCCAATCACCCCGCAGCCGCCCCGCTTGTTCCGTTCCAGGTCCAGCGAGCCTCTGGCCCCCCATGTGCGCAGGCCGCTTCGCTGTGGCCCAGACAGCGGTGAGGAGGACGTGTTCCACGAGAGGGCCAGGGCTGAACCTAAGCGGTGTTTTTCGTGTTCGTTTTGTTTTCGTTTTCCCTCGTTATGTCTCGAATCCGCCTTTCCCGCAAAATGAAGTCGAAACGAGAACGGCCAACGAAATCGCCGAAAACACCGTTTAGGTCCAGCCCTGACGTGTTCCATGAGAGGGCACGGCGGCGAGGAATAACCAGGAAATTCGGCCCGCGCGATGGGAACCGTCGGCTTTCCAGCTGACGGGACGGGGTCTCCACAGACACCCTCCGACGAACTGTCCATGTACCTTCAGGGAGGGGACGGTGTACAAAATCGCTGGCTCCCCGTGGTGATTTCTACACCGCCACGTTCTCCTGAGGCCCTGGAACAATCCAGTGGAGGGCTTGTGTGTATTTTTTGATATTGCGGAGACTGGTCGGAGAGAAGAGGAAGAGGGTGAGGAATAATTAAAGCGGTGAAAAATGTGCACCAATACAATTGGAGTAACCGAAACGGCATGGGCAGTCCAGGGAGCCGAAGAACGGATATGATCTAGTTCTGCATCGAAAAAATCGCCTGCCGAAGGACCCAACCATCTGCGGTTGTTACCGCAGTTGTGAGAGTCGTTATCGGTGGAGCCCCCCCTTGGGGCCACGAAACGTGTGGGGTGTCTGCCGAATTGGGAGCGGGTACGCCATGCGGACTGTGCCTCTGGGGCCTTCGGTGAAGCTCCCTATGGTACCACGAAACGTTGGAGGGGTGTGCCGAATCGGATATGGGTGCGCCATGCGGACTGTGCCGCTGGGGCCTTCGGTGGAGCTCCCTGTGGGGCCACGAAACGTGTGAGAGGTGTGCCGAATCGGGTTTCTGGTGCACCATGTTGACTGTGCCACTGGGGATGTGGGCGGAGATCCCTGTGGGGTCCCGAAGTGTGTGAGAGGTGTGTGCCGAATCGTGTGCGGGTACGCCTTGCGGAGGGTGCCGCTGGGGCCCTTCGGAGGAGCTCCCTCTGGGGGGCCGCCACACGTGCGAGGTGTGTGCCGAATCGGGTGCGGACTAGGGCCTTCGGTGCAGCTCCCCAGGGGGCCACGAAACGTGTCCGGGGTGTGCCGAATCGGATGCGGGTGCGCCGTGCGGACTGTGCCGCTAGGGCCTTCGGTGAAGCTCCCTACGGGACCACAAAACGAGTGAGTCGCGTGTCGAAACGGACATTCGGGGGCAGAGGCAGGGATGGGGGTAAGAAGGGGGAAGAGAAGGAAAAGGAAGAGCGGAGGAGGAGGAGAGAGAAAGGAGAGAGGAAGGAACGCGGGGCGCTGTCAAAACGAGGTGCGCGTACGCTATGCGGACTGTGCCGCTGGGGCCTTCGGTGGAGCTCCCTGTTGGGCCACGAAGCGTGTCCGGGGTGTGCCGAATCGGACGCGGGTACGCCATGCGGACTGTGCCGCTGGGGCCCTTCGGTGGAGCTCCCTAGGGGGACATGAAACGTGTGAGAGGTGTGCCGAATCGGGTGTGGGTACGCCGCCATACGGACTGTGCCACTGAGTCCTTCGGTGGGTTGAAGCTCCTATGGGGCCAAGAAACGTGTGAGCGGAGTGCCGAATCGGACGCGGGTACGCCATGTGGACTGTGCCGCTGTGGGCCTTCGGTGGAGCTCCATATGGGGCCACGAAGCGTGTCCGGGGTGTGCCGAATCGGATGCGGGTGCGCCGTGCGGACTGTGCCGCTAGGGCCTTCGGTGAAGCTCCCTACGGGACCACAAAACGAGTGAGTCGCGTGTCGAAACGGACATTCGGGGGAGGAGGCAGGGATGGGGGTAAGAAGGGGGAAGAGAAGGAAAAGGAGGAGCGGAGGAGGAGGAGAGAGAAAGGAGAGAGGAAGGAACGCGGGGCGCTGTCAAAACGAGGACCCAACACCACGGGTGCGCGTACGCTATGCGGACTGTGCCGCTGGGGCCTTCGGTGGAGCTCCCTGTTGGGCCACGAAGCGTGTCCGGGGTGTGCCGAATCGGACGCGGGTACGCCATGCGGACTGTGCCGCTGGGGCCCTTCGGTGGAGCTCCCTAGGGGGACATGAACCGTGTGAGAGGTGTGCCGAATCGGATGTGGGTACGCCGCCATACGGACTGTGCCACTGAGTCCTTCGGTGGGTTGAAGCTCCTATGGGGCCAAGAAACGTGTGAGCGGAGTGCCGAATCGGACGCGGGTACGCCATGTGGACTGTGCCGCTGTGGCCCTTCGGTGGAGCTCCATATGGGGCCACGAAGCGTGTCCGGGGTGTGCCGAATCGGATGCGGGTGCGCCGTGCGGACTGTGCCGCTGGGGCCTTCGGTGAAGCTCCCTACGGGACCACAAAACGTGTGAGTCGCGTGTCGAAACGGACATTCGGGGGCAGAGGCAGGGATGGGGGTAAGAAGGGGGAAGAGAAGGAAAAGGAGGAGCGGAGGAGGAGGAGAGAGAAAGGAGAGAGGAAGGAACGCGGGGCGCTGTCAAAACGAGGACCCAACACACGGGTGCGCGTACGCTATGCGGACTGTGCCGCTGGGGCCTTCGGTGGAGCTCCCTGTTGGGCCACGAAGCGTGTCCGGGGTGTGCCGAATCGGACGCGGGTACGCCATGCGGACTGTGCCGCTGGGGCCCTTCGGTGGAGCTCCCTAGGGGGACATGAAACGTGTGAGAGGTGTGCCGAATCGGGTGTGGGTACGCCGCCATACGGACTGTGCCACTGAGTCCTTCGGTGGGTTGAAGCTCCTATGGGGCCAAGAAACGTGTGAGCGGAGTGCCGAATCGGACGCGGGTACGCCATGTGGACTGTGCCGCTGTGGCCCTTCGGTGGAGCTCCATATTGGGCCACGAAGCGTGTCCGGGGTGTGCCGAATCGGATGCGGGTGCGCCGTGCGGACTGTGCCGCTGGGGCCTTCGGTGAAGCTCCCTACGGGACCACAAAACGTGTGAGTCGCGTGTCGAAACGGACATTCGGGGGCAGAGGCAGGGATGGGGGTAAGAAGGGGGAAGAGAAGGAAAAGGAGGAGCGGAGGAGGAGGAGAGAGAAAGGAGAGAGGAAGGAACGCGGGGCGCTGTCAAAACGAGGACCCAACACCACGGGTGCGCGTACGCTATGCGGACTGTGCCGCTGGGGCCTTCGGTGGAGCTCCCTGTTGGGCCACGAAGCGTGTCCGGGGTGTGCCGAATCGGACGCGGGTACGCCATGCGGACTGTGCCGCTGGGGCCCTTCGGTGGAGCTCCCTAGGGGGACATGAAACGTGTGAGAGGTGTGCCGAATCGGGTGTGGGTACGCCGCCATACGGACTGTGCCACTGAGTCCTTCGGTGGGTTGAAGCTCCTATGGGGCCAAGAAACGTGTGAGCGGAGTGCCGAATCGGACGCGGGTACGCCATGTGGACTGTGCCGCTGTGGCCCTTCGGTGGAGCTCCATATGGGGCCACGAAGCGTGTCCGGGGTGTGCCGAATCGGATGCGGGTGCGCCGTGCGGACTGTGCCGCTGGGGCCTTCGGTGAAGCTCCCTACGGGACCACAAAACGTGTGAGTCGCGTGTCGAAACGGACATTCGGGGGAGGAGGCAGGGATGGGGGTAAGAAGGGGGAAGAGAAGGAAAAGGAGGAGCGGAGGAGGAGGAGAGAGAAAGGAGAGAGGGAGGAACGCGGGGCGCTGTCAAAACGAGGACCCAACATCACGGGTGCGCGTACGCTATGCGGACTGTGCCGCTGGGGCCTTCGGTGGAGCTCCCTGTTGGGCCACGAAGCGTGTCCGGGGTGTGCCGAATCGGACGCGGGTACGCCATGCGGACTGTGCCGCTGGGGCCCTTCGGTGGAGCTCCCTAGGGGGACATGAAACGTGTGAGAGGTGTGCCGAATCGGGTGTGGGTACGCCGCCATACGGACTGTGCCACTGAGTCCTTCGGTGGGTTGAAGCTCCTATGGGGCCAAGAAACGTGTGAGCGGAGTGCCGAATCGGACGCGGGTACGCCATGTGGACTGTGCCGCTGTGGCCCTTCGGTGGAGCTCCATATGGGGCCACGAAGCGTGTCCAGGGTGTGCCGAATCGGATGCGGGTGCGCCGTGCGGACTGTGCCACTAGGGCCTTCGGTGAAGCTCCCTACGGGACCACAAAACGTGTGAGTCGCGTGTCGAAACGGACATTCGGGGGCAGAGGCAGGGATGGGGGTAAGAAGGGGGAAGAGAAGGAAAAGGAGGAGCGGAGGAGGAGGAGGAGGAGGAGGAGGAGGAGAGAAAGGAGGGAGGAAGGAACGCGGGGCGCTGTCAAAACGAGGACCCAACACCACGGAATGGCTGGGAAAAACTGATCTGATCTGGACAAGGCCCCCACCGGCGCTGGGAACGTCGAAGCAAACTACGCCAGAAACTGTACAAGGATTGGAACACTGACACGGTAAGAGAATGCCGTGTCGTCTCCAGGGCCCCCTGAGAGCAGGCACGCATCGATGCACCGCGCCGCGGAATCAAAGCGGGCCGGCAGCGCCTCGTCCCCAACCGACCGGGCTGGGGTCGCATCGCCACGCCCGGCCCCGTCTCCGACTGGCCCCGTTCGGTGCTATAGCGGGTCGGGCCGAGTCGAACCGAAAAGGCATCGCGGCCCCGGCCAGCGAGCCGAGTCGCACCGCCTCGGATCGGATCGTGGCGGCCCTGGGAGGTGGGGGGGGGGGGGGGGGAAAAAGGCTGCTAGCCCCGCGCCCCGATGCCACGATTCTCCCGCTGCGCTGGAGGCCTGGGCCAGCGCACTCGGCACGCTGGTCACCGAGGTCGACGAAGTGCTGGTCGCCGACAGAGTCGACACGCTTGACTGCGTGGAGGTAGCGGGTGCCGAGGTAGTCTCTGTGGTGGTGTGCCTCGACGAGGTTCTGGTGGCGGTAGACGACACGCTGGTCGACGACACGCTGGTCGACGACGACCCGGTAGACGACACGCTGGTCGACGACGACCAGCTGCTTGTCGCAGTGCGGGTGGCCGCCACGATCGTCGGATCAGACGCACCGAAAGCGCCTGTGAATTCAGCCACCGCGTCTTCGTCATGTCCAGGCATATACACCGTGGTCAGCGTGTCAACGTCCAAAGCCTGAGCCCCGATTTCCGTGACTGACGCTGGGATGGTCAATTCGACCAGCGCGGTACCTTTAAAGCCCCAAAGCCCGATGGTTGTCAGTGAGCTCGAAAGCGTAACTCTGGATAGATCCTTAGCGTTGTAGAAAGCAAACCATCCAATAAACGTCACATTGTTCGGGATCGTGAAATTGACAAGTCCCGCCTCTTCGAAAGCATAATTCCCGATGGTAATCACAGAATCTGGCAACTCCACATCGGTCAGCGCAGAGCATGCTTGAAACGCATACTCCGGAATGGCTTCGACCCCCGGGCAAATCACAACCGAGGTGCCATAGTAAGAGGCATTCGCACTTGAAGGGTCCTCGCCCTTGCAGGGCCCGCCAGTTTCCGCACCGTCAAGCACGGCCATGTCGGCATACGATAAACATGCAGAGTCCACAACATAGACAGCAGCAACAATTATCAATATCATCCTGCGACAGTAGGCCATTATTGCTAATATTCCTGCCAGAGACTCACGGGCACACCCACAAATTCGTCATGGCTTGCAATTTCTTGACTGCAAGAGCAACACAGCAGCGGGTCAGGAGGGCAGATGTGGACGAGCGCAGCAGAGGCTGGGGATAGAATGACAAACAACGGCACAACATACTGTCCGAGGTCCGCGCGGAGCGCGCCAGGGGCGGCACCGGAGGCGCCGCCGGGGAGGCCCAGCGCCGATCAAAGAAATCCGCGCGGAGCTCCGAGAACTTATGTTTGTGCCGATGCGTGTTCTGCAAAGTGCAAAGGCGGCGCGCAAACACTCCGCACTGTCACAACGCCGCGGCAACATGGAAGTGGCGCAGTGCAGAGAGAGAGACCCCAGACAGCTGAGGCAGGCACGGCGACAACACGAGGCTGGGTGCGCGGCTGAAACACTCCCCCTCGCCCTCTCCCTGTCGTCCATCCTTCAGGTTCCCCCGTCCTTCTCTTGCCTCGATCCCCCTCCCTCCCCCGCCCTCCCCTGCCTCGCCCTCCCTCCCCTCCCCGCATCTACCCCCATCCCTCCTCCATCCACTGAACTTTCAAGTTCCCAGTAGCCTTGGAGGAGTCAGCAGCGTAACAATGTACAGGATCGGTTTCCGCAACATTTTGGTACCAGGGCTTTTGGAGGCCTCCCAGATGGGGTCAGAGGAGAGTGGTCCGAGGATCGCGCCGCATCGCCGATGCATCGGCGATGCATCTGCGACGTCGAGATGGAGAAAATTGGGCTCTGGGTCGCGCCGAGTCGCCGAACCATCGCCAGAGCAGCGCGATTATATGACCTCATCTACTCTGGCCTTATTTTGGAGGCCTGGAGCTTGATCCAAGTACTGACTCCCACCCTCGGCCAGACAACAGTTTAATCAATAACCCAGCCCCGCCCGTGGTGCACAGTGTTCTCTTGGGCGTGCCGATGAAATCCTCTTCCTTGTGGAACAACCAAAATTTGCGTGCACAAGGTCGTTCGCATTTCAAGCACTGAGAATCACGGCGCGCACAATGCGCAAAGCTCTCCTGACCCGGGAACCCTGCAACGCAAAGCATGTAACAAAATGCAAGCCAAGCCAAGCCATGTCCAAACCTTCCTGTTGATGACACTATGAGAATCGAAAATAATGCGGAAACGATTATTCTGGTAAAGCGCAGACGTGCGGCATCTCCGTGTTACGCCCACCCGTGCCCTGAGACAGCAAAGCCTCAGAGTCCCGCACGAGGCCCGCGCATGCCTAGCGCACCCCCTCGCGAGCTCAGTGCGAGCCCTGCGAATCCTGCATGAGCGCAGGGCGAGCCCCCAACGATCCCAAAACGAGCCCAACGAAGCCCCGTGTGGGCCCGCGGAACCGCGCGCGAATCCCGCCAGAGCCACGGGCAGAATCGCCGCCGAAATTCCGTGGGGCAGAGCGCAGGCAAGAGTGGGAGGTACACGTTTCTGGGCCCTCGGAAATCCCAGAAACCATGAGATTCGTCAACAAAAACTACGCAGTAAACGAAACAGCCAAGTTTAGTAAACAATCTATGCGCCGCCCTGCCCCCTGCACCTGAGACCCGCGCGACCCCCGCCAACTCGCCTGGAGCTCGCGCGGGCCTCGCGCGGGGCTCGCATGGAACCCGCGCGGCGCCCGTGCAGGGTTCGCGGGAGCCCTTCCAGGCTCGCGCGGGCGCGAGCGTGTGCTGCGCGCGACCCCGTGCGAATTTGGGGGCAGGTTCTGACGAGCCAGCGCGGGGCTCGCGCGAAGACCGGATGGGGCTCGCGCGCGGTTCGCGCGAAGCTGGCGCAGGGCTTGCGGTCAGCTCGCGAGGGAGCTCCGCGCGCGGGGGCCGCGCGGAGCGCGCGCGGGCCCTTGGCTGCCGCCGACACCGCGCAGTGCCGATGGGTCGCGCGATAGATCGCGCGATGAGGCGGCAGCACAGCTTGTGCAGCGTGCAGCCACGCGGCGATGATCGGTTTGCTCGAACCGCAGAGGCGCTCTTCTGCGAAGGGCTGCGGAATGCAGAACTGGACGGGTTTGGGCGTCAGCCGGGGCGGGGGGGTAGCAGGCCGACCCTGGGGCGGCAGCACCCCCCGCGCAGAATGTGCAGCGATGCTGCACCTCATCGCCACACGCCTCGCTCGCGGGTGCCCGAGGCAGGTCGCTCCATCCCGGCGGGCGGAGGCCCCTGCCCGTGTGCCCGCCCCCGCCGCCTGGCACTGCCAAAGCGAAAGCACATCTGAGACGACGCGCGCACGCGGCGTCACCCTGGAGTCGCACCCCGCGGCTGCCTGGCCCAGAGCGGCGCGATCCTTTGGCACAAGGGCAGCGCGACATCGCCAGAGGCCAAGAAGAGCCCAGCCAAGCCGACGGCCCAGCCGAAATTTGCTCCCATGGCACTGCACAAAGCCGCCCACGGCGACACAGCAGAAAATCGACCGAACCGACCGCGAAACCGAAACTGGCTGAAGGCCCGAATCGAGCGGGCGCAGCCTAGAAAGGCGCGGCGACGCAGCAACGACGAACCAGCCGGCCGGACCGAACCGACCGACCCGACCGAACGCAACCGACTGCGACACAGCTGAACCGACCGAACCGAGGACACCCGTGCTGGGCATCGCCTAGCCAGTCCCTTTCCCCACGAGCGTGGCCTTGGCCCCACTGGCCGACTTGCCCATCGAGGTGGGGATATGTGATCCACGGCTGGAGCCCCCACCCGGAGCCAATGGCACCGCCAACCCCCCGTTGGAGGGGTACGCCCGAGAGCCTCGCGCAACCCTCGCCAATGAGATCGCCCCCCCTCCCTGCGGTTGTGGCCCTGCGGGCGTGGCATGGTGGTGGGTGTCAGTGCCCCCCCTCCCCTGTGGGTGTGGGGTGGTTCGTCGTCGTCGTCGGCTGCGGCGGCAGCGAGGGCGGCGTCGGCGTCGGCGTCAGCGGCGTCGCCATCGGCGTCGGTTTCGGCGTCGGCGGCGGCCTCGGCGTCGGCGGCGGGCTCGGCGTCGACGTCGACGTCGGCGTCGGCGTCGGCGGCGACGTCGGCGTCAAAGTCGGCGTCGGAGTCGTCGTCGTGGTCGTCGTCGTCGGCGTCGGCGTCGGCCGTGTCGTCGGGGCCGGTGTTGGCCTCGGCGTCGGCTTCGGCGTCAGCGTCGGTGTCGGCGTCGGCGGTGGCGGCGTAGGTGTCGGCGTCGGCCGCGTCGACGTCGGCATCGGCGTCCGCGCCGGCGTCAACGTCGGCGTGGCGTCGGCGTCGGCGTGGCTGTCCGCGTCGGCGTTGGCGTCGGGGGCGTCGTCATCGTCGTCGTCGGTGGCGGCGTCGGCGGCGGCGTCGGCGGCGGCGTCGGCGTCAGAGTCGGCGTCGGAGTCGTCGTCGTGGTCGTTGTCGGCGTCGTCGTCGGCCGTATCGACGTCGGGGTCGGTGTCGGCCTCGGCGTCGGCCTCGGCATCGGCGTCGGCGTCGGCGTCGGCGGCGGCGTCGCCGGCGTCGGCGTCGTCGTCGTCCTAGTCGGCGTCGCCGGCGTCGGCGTCGTCGTCGTCATCGTCGTCGTCGTCCTTGTCACAGTCGTCCTAATCGTCGTCGTCCCAGTTCGTCCTAGTCGTCGTCGTCCTAGTCGTCGTCAGCCTAATCGTCGTCATCATTGTCGCCGCCGCAGCCGCAACCTCCGTCGTCGTCGTCGTCGTCGTCGTCGTCGTCGTCGTCGGCATCGGCGTCGTCGTCTCCGTCGTCGTGGTCGTCTCCTTCGTCGTCGTGGTCATCTTGCGTTGCGTCGGCGTCGGCGTAGTCCTAATCGTCCTGCGTCGTCGTCGGCGTCGGCATCGGCGTCGTCGTCGGCGTCGGCGTCGGCGGCGGCGGCAGCGACAGCGTCGCCGGCGTCGTCGTCGTAGGCGTCGCCCCCCCCTCCCCATCCCGTCTGGAGGTGGGGGTCAGTGGAACCCTGGGACCCATCCCATCTGGGGAAGGGTATGAACCTTCGACATGGGATCATGTATGTTTGTTTCTTTGAGTCTCGCGGGGCCGACCCCCACTTTGGAGGGTGGGCTGGTGGGGCTGAGAGCCGAGATGTTATGGCTGAGAACGTCCGAGGCAAGCCGGGCGCCTGAAAAGCCCAAGCTGAATCGAATCGCGAAATGGGATCGGATCGAAAACCGATCGGAACGCCAACAAATCGTGCCGATTTGCCAGGGCCTGCGCCCTCCCCCTTCGGACCGACGCCCTCGGACCGAAGTGGGAAGGCGCGGCGCAGCCAAAAGCAAGACCCTTCGAGGACGGGGCGCTGGGCTCCTGTTCCCTGGGAAGCACGAGTGGCAACGATAGGGGAGACTGGCCCCACGGGGGAAGAACATCGACCTGCAATCGGCGATACGCGAAGCCGCACGCTCATCGGCGGGGTGGGGCTATCGGGCCCCTATCAGCGAGCAATGGGCGATGGGGGCTCGATGCATTGCCCCCTGAACACATCACAAATCACCCCTCGCGGTTCCCTCTGGCGGTTCTCGGGCCGCTCGGGATGATCCGGACAGCCCTGGCACGCCTCCGCCGACTCGCAGCTGCTGGAACGCACCCCGAGGCTGGAAAACCACCGAGACCCAACGCAAATGTTTGAACATTTCGATCCTCCCGTCGCGCTCTTCTCCACGACGACACGATAGCATCACCCTTTTAACGTTGCCCCCGACGGTAGACCAAGGTGCTGGCCGCAGCGGCCCCAAGAGGGCCAGCGGGGCGAGGCCGCGCCAAGGCCACCACGGCAGCGCGCCTCGGCGCGCCCGGGGCCGAAACAGCAGCGGAAGCAGGCAGGCACACGCCCCCACCCCGGGACGCACCCCTCAAAGTCGAGGGGGGGCGGGGGGCGAAGCCTGCCCGCTGCCGCGGTTTCGCGCGCGCCCGAGGCTGCCGAGAAGGAGCAGGCAGCCGCCTAGCACGGCTGCCACAGATGCCGCAAAACAAGCGCCACGAGAGCGCGCGGATTACGGGATCGTGGCCCCATTGCCCGGTGAACTCAGCACCAACACGCCTCCGAGCAGAACTCGGCTGAGCAAGTACAGCTTATGAAGGCCAGCCGGACGGCAGCCCAGAAAAGCTCTGGAGAGCGCCGATGGGGCCGGTCCTGCACGGGCGGAATGCTTGTTAGGTTCGCGCCTCCACGAAGCTAAAGCCAAACAAGCAAAACAACTACTCGGCTAAAGGCTGGCTGAAGGAGCGCGGAGACACGCTCGCTTCATGGCCTCAGAAGCCCAGCGCGAGCACGGGCACGCGCTCGCACTGGGACGCC